GGGAATCAGATAGTACGTAATTAGTCTTACATAGCCGTGCCACTAGCAGATCAATATCATTCCTTATTGTAATAAAATAAACATTTTTCTATGTACATGTTATGGGGGTCTATAATTATGATATATCCTGTACATTACTACACTAACTACTATATAAATTATGATAATTGTTGCTTAAAGTACGTGACAAATATTTGAGCTGTTTCTTTTTCTAACATTTTTCATCAACTACGACAGCTAAAACAATACTAAAGAATGCTTTGAGCAGCTAAAACAGTTTACGTCCGATGAGTATATACAAAATTTTCTCAAAATGTTCAAAAGGGGGATTTAGGGAAAACTCAAAGTTCTCGTTTCAAGTATCCTGGCTTCGGCCGGTAGTTTTGTGTTAATAGTTTAATTAGATAGAGTAAACATTTCTGAGGAAAATAAGGCGTCTCCGAGCTTTCCACAACATATTTTCGTCAAGCTGCATTATATTTATGAAAAGCCTCCGAGATACTGCTGCTACTTTTTTTGCAGATTTTTCTTGTTTTCTAACCGTTCCGTATTTTGCCGATAAGTTTATTAAACTTAATATTTGAAACAATGTAGTATATCACTGTGAGACACAGGAATGATTAGTGGTAAGAAAAGTCAGCGTAAATATTGTGACTATTAAATAAGTAATAAACGTTTATCTAAATGTAATCAAACACTAAAACTCAAACATGAAAACTAATCATCGGTGTGTTCTTCATCAAATAATACGCAGACATAAATTGCACAGAATATTGCACTTCAATGTCTCTCGACTCAATTTTGTCCAGTTGCAAATTCATTTCTACGCATTAGAGATTGTTAATTTGATAATATACGTACGGATCATTAGTTTTCATGATTGGATTTTAGTGTTTGATTACATTTAGATAAACGTTTATTACTTATCTAATGGTCACAATATTTACGTTGATTTCTCTTAATACTAAACATTCTTTTCCATACAGGTAGTACATTTTTACAAGCCTCCGGCTTTTTGTACTTACCTATGTGTATATTATTTTCTGCAAGATTATTTTCTACACTTGAAATAAACTTCAAGTTCAAATTTAAGTCCGATAAAAAAAAAAGTTTCGATGTTTTGATTTAGCCACACAGTGTCATTGATTGTCCAATATCTCAAAAGCCAGACTATTTTTGAAAAATAGCTCTGCACGATTTCGAAAACTTTCTCTCTTTCCATTGGAATAAAAAGTAGAAATGGAAATCTTCGAATTAATTTCCATTTAACTCATTAAGTTGAGCGATTTTCCACTAAACTCATAATGAGCGATAGTAAGTGTACATACCGCAAGTGGCAATAAAATAATCTAATATCAGTAATCGTCTATGCAGAACATTTAAGATTAAGCGTTTTATTTTTCAAAATGCATCTCTAATTCCCCCCTGTCGATAGACGAGGAAAATCGCAGAGATAATAAATTATGAGCTTAAATAAATTATCTTTTCTCACAAAGAAAATAAATGCTGCACAGAAAAGTTTACATGGATAAACATCAAAATTTAAAACGGCTCATAATCTAACATACTACAGGTTATTACTTTTAAACTAACAGCATGACTGAGGGTTTTGCGAATTTATATAGTGAAGTATTGTTTCCAACATATATTGTCCGTTAAAAAAGGAATATAACTAGCATATACATCTTATAGCTACTTTTTCAATAACTTTTGAACAATGCATTTGGAAGACTTGCGGTTTTCAGCATTGCATAGAGAAAATAATTAGCTGCAGGATGACGTAAAAACATCTTACAAAATAGCATCTGCAGGTGGTGTACCATATTAGTCAACATTAGACAGGGAATGTTGTCAAATTATGAGGGCAGAATGGATTTTCAACTTTAATATGTTGCTATATAACTTAAACATTACTCTATACAGATCCGAAAATCTCATGACTCCATATACCGTGGTTTGGATATGATAGCAGTTTTCCTGAGACTGGTGTTAACAGTCATATTTAAGATTATGTGATGTTCGAAATCATTGATCTATAAGTTACCCATAAAGGAGACTCGCGGCAATGTTTGTTTTTGAAAGAGCTTCGAAAAACTAGCGAAAACCCACACTAGATGAAATAAACTATTTTTCACTATTTTCAGCGAAAATTAAAAAATTCATATACCTCAGTGAAAGTTATTCGAAACTGCTTCGGAATATCAAGATATACTCTATTGTATCTGATTAATCGTATTTTGTAGCAGAATTTAGTACAAAACACTCCCTTATTTCCAAGGCTTTTTAGAAAATCTTTCAAAAAATAAAGTACTTTGGTTTTTAAAACTATTATTGAAGTTCATGGCGCATCATGAAATGCATCATTCTGTATTTTGTAAACGCTACAAACAGCTAAAGTCCAGTCGAGCTCAATCTCTCGCCAAATATTCCTCTATGTGTGCTCTATCATCGACCACAGCGCCAATTAGCGCCAGTGATTCTGAATTGGGCTAGAGGTTTTCCAACAAACCATAGTTTTTGACACCAAATGCCTTTTTTGCGACTAATATAACATTTTAGCGCAAAACCAACGTGATACTCAGAATTAGCTCGCCAAGCTGCATCGAATCTTATATAACATTGATTTTTCCAGAAAACTTTTTTAAATTTTCTATGCTAAAAATATTTCGGAAAATTCGCCATACCATATTTTGTAAACACTACAAACAGCTAAAGTCTAATCGAGCTCAACCTTTCGCCAAATACTCCTCTATGTGTGCTCTACCATTGACAATGGCGCCAATTCGCGTCAGTAATTCTGCATTGTGCTGGAGATTTTCCGAAAAACCATGGTCTTGGGAGTTACAGGACTGACACCCGGTGACTATTGGTAGCCTTGAGAATGGATGGACTATAGACAATCGATCATGCTGAACCTCGTGGCAATATTTGCTTTTAGAAAAAGTTCTAAAGATCTACCGAAAAACGAGTTTTACGAAAACTAGCATTTTCAGGCTGTTTTCACGTAATATGAAAAATTCATTAATCACTCCATAATCATCAGAACGAGTTCAAAATGTCAAGATATGGTTAATTTCCTTCGCTAAACGTGATTATACGATCGAAAAATCAGAAAGGCATATTTTTGTTCTTGGATTTTCCAGAAACCCTCTTGGAAAACCTTGTGGTTTTGTAACGTTTCTTTTGAGATCTCCTATAAAGAGTATATAGAATAGCTTAAATACTCGGCCGTCTGAACTTCTGAACTAGTTCTGATGTTTTTTGAGTGAATAGTGAATTTTTTAATATTAGATGAAAACAGCCTGAAAGCAATAACTTTCGCACAACTGGCTTTTCGGTAGTTTTTTAAAATTTTTTCTAAACACAAATATTGCCACGAGGCTCAGCACTGTCGATTACCCATATTCCTTCAAGGCTACCAATAGCCACCGAGCGCCAGTTCTGGGACTCGTAGGAGATCCGATACAACGCCTGAACCGCGGAAAATCAAGGTCTCACTTCGCTCCTATTTGAAGAGAACACCCCGGACTATCAGTCCACTAAAAGAAAGCAATACAATCCTATCGGAAAATTTTTACAGACGGCCTAGTTTTCCGAAGATTGCCTAGAAAACCTGTTTCAAAAAACTCTTCTGAAAATAATTTTGGTTATGAAAACATATCTCTAAATCTCCTCTTTCGAATGGCAAAAATCGGAGCTCTCTAGCTCTTTTCTATCAAAAGTTATTATTGAATTAATAGCACATGTCCGCCTGCTCTAGCCAAAATTGCCCACTATGATGCCGATCAGTATGAACACGCGTATCGAAGATTTAAAAGCAAAACAACAGGCATTACGGCAGGATATAAGCAAATAAACATTAAAGCTACAATTGAAACAAGTGAATTTGTCTAATAAGATTAGATACATTTTGTTAGTTTTTAAGCGTGATTGAGAAGAGAATATTGTTTATAAGTAACACAAGCCTTTTAACTCCGACTTTTTTTCACATGTTAAGACTACAAATCACATAGCGAGAAGATTCAATGATTATGTAATGTTTTGCTACAATCTCTCGGTCCCTGCTAAAAAGTAGTCGTTTGGAAACTCTCCCTGTTCCTTAATTTCATCACATAATATCCGTACCGATGATTTTTATTGTATCAGTTGTGGCCAACGATATAAACAGGTTTTTTGTGCGTTTATTCTTTTCGCATTGGCAGTTTGAGCAACGGTTGTCGCTCACCACTCTGATTGAGTTTAATAACAACGCTACTCTTTGCATCTGCATTACGTTTGAATAATTTAATGTACTCTTCATCTTTTTTTCTCATTTCTCTTCGACGTTTGTAGACAAAAATGTGTAACCATGCAGCAAATAATATATGAATTACAACGAATATATTGAAAAATATGATACAAATGATCCCATCAACTTCAACACGCTCTTTGGGGATTTGAAACGGAATAACAGCAATTACTGCATGATAGAAGCAAATAAAGACCAAAAAGACAATTGAAACAAGTGAATATTTGTCTAATAACGTTAGATAGCGAATAGTCTAAATAACATAAAAAACAAAAACGCTATATGATTTTATGACGATAATATACGGGGGTCATGAAAAAGCTTCGCATAAATGTTGACCGTATTTCTCCATGCTCCAGCTCCATATTTCTTATGTATGCTGGCTCCGCGCTGAACCAAATTAGATGGAAATAGGATGTCAGGTATATAATTCCTCGAGGAATCCGACAGTGAGTTTCTTTTAATTTGATTCTGACTCCTTCTTTGATGTCGACATAATTTTTACAAAGCAATATAAAAGCTAATCTCATTAACTTGCTGCCTTTGGTGATGCATTTACACGTTAAGTATTAGACGAGAATTCTTAGTTTGTGGGAAAATATCGGATAAGAAAGTATTCCTGACAATCACGAAGTTTAGACTGACAGATTTTTGTAGGTTGAACGAATATTTCTAGACATGGGTAGTTTTTGAATATTTTGTCAGTGCATCATCAGTCATAAGTAGAGTAAACAATATCTAAAGTGTATTACTACAACTGCTGTTTAAAACAATAAAACCTCGACGTTTATTATTTAACGAAATGCAAAATGTTCAAAGCTACCGTTTTCTCAATTATTTTTCATTCAGAACGTTTACCTCGCCTGTTATATGACGAACACCTTACCGGTAGTGATCGATTGACGACCCAGCGAAAAGTAACAGCTGCCAGTAGAACCGTAACGGTGGTTTGCAAGCGATTTTCAGGTTTGCTAAATAAAAAACCATGCGTATAGCGTTCACTTTAGCTATAATAACATGAAGGTTATCCATCCTGTTTACTAAGAGCTATTTACCTTGGAAGAATGGAAAAGATGGGGAATGCAAATAATGTTATCAGAAACATCAGAAAGAAACCGTTCCAACCGTAGTATCCTGGACAACGACCTGCTCTGCATGTAACGTTAAATACAGGATGCACTTTATTCGAATATATATAATCGTCAATTAGATAACTGCTGGTTGTTTCTATATGTTCATACAGTTTCCACGATTGTTGACCACCAAATGCCAGACGATTGATACTAGACAAGCGCGACTCGTCTTGTTTTAGTACAACTTCTGACGATGAGTGTTTTGTCGTTATACTTATTGATAAATCTTGTACATCAACAGGAAACTAGAAACAAAGATAAAGTTGAATAAGACAATGAGAAAAGATAGTAAGAACTTACATGCTGCAACTCCAATTTCTCCCAAAAAGTACCTTTCATTGTACGATGTTCACATATTTCTGATGATTGTTCCTCAGGATGTTGGATAACTGTATAAAATATTTCTTGTTTTAGTTCACCAACATTATTATCGATCACTAATTCAGGATTCCAATGTACTTTCGGGTTATAGTCAATTGCTGACCCCTGCACTTCTGGGTGAAAGCTTTTATCAAACCACGTGGCTTCCACATATGCTTCGGCCTCATATTTTTCATTTAATGTGTCGATATTACCTATGGTAAAGACCTAGAGATTTACACTATAAAGCTGTAAGCTTGTTTATTTCTAACATTTATGAGCGTGAAAACGGAAAAGAAAAGCTGCTTTTTGAAAACTTAACAACTTTCCCTTATCTGCTGAAACTCGAGAAATAGTAAACGATATGGGACAAGTGTAATAACATTTAATTCAAAGATAAAAACGCACTGAAGCATTGCCCCAAGCTCGAAAAAACAACCTTCATCACTTCACTTTTTGCTGAGATACTTGCTAGATGCGTCTAGCTAACTAGATTTTGTTTACTCATTTAACTAGATGCGGCCGCTGGAACATCGAAGTATCTAGATCTACTTGCATAGTTCGGGGCATCTACTTCAGTCTGCAAAATATAAGTGTAGTACATTTCATGCCGAAATTTCATTCGCTGATTTCCTACATAGGATAAATTCAGTCAACACTTCGGGTCATGATCATGAAAGCACACATACCTATTCGTAAAAATATCAGTCGAATGAATACTACAGTTGCATTACGCGTATCAACCATGCTGGGATCTCTATAGAGCTTTAAAGTATTTAATTGTCCTTCCATACTTTATAGTTGAATCAATACGTTTGCAGAAACGATAAGTCCACTGCGAAGTAACAGGCACCTTTTACTTTTCTGACCTATAAAACAAATCAGGCGTATCCAACAATATATCATTAGTCATCATGTTCCTAATTGTATTACTTTAAACGAAGAATATGCATCTGTCAAACGGTCTAATGGATGCCAACAAAATAACAAAGTACCGATACTCAAAAGAAAAATTCGCATGCCTGCGTGTCATGGAAAGGAATGCTTCGATTTTTATCGTAGAATCTATCAAATGGTAAAATTTAGGGGCTTCATCATTTGAACACGTGTAATGAACTTTTTAGCATTTTGTTGCAGTCAGTGAAACTTTAATATCCTATTAATATACTTGTACGCGCAAGTGAAAAATTGAAAAACTGACTAATTCTCCGCTTATACGCGTGAATTCGTATGAGTACGTATGAACTCATCCGTTCACCCATCACACAGAGATACTGGACATTTCAGCACAGGAATGTTTAGTATTAAGAGAAATCAATATAAATCATATCATCGATAAAAAATTAAAGTTCATTTAGAGTTAAAGAAAAGTGCTTTTTCGTATTCAGCACACTTGATAACCTGGAAAATTTTCTGTTTTTAGCGAGGGGTACCGCCAAAAAGTTAAGAAAAATTTTCAAAATT